CATCTACAAGACCTTCTTCACGGCTGCTGCAACTAACCCATATCTCTTGGAAGGACCTACTTCACTGGGGTTTTCGCCCTACCAGGGGACTGACCTCGTCTGCTGCCGTCCCATTCACTGAGCCTATAAAAAGGCCAGTCTTCTTGCCTTTGCTCCAGGACTCTCCTCCACCCGATGCTGTGAACACTAACCCCAAAGGCCGAGGGGACTGATTCCCTCATCTTTTGTAATAAAGTCTATGTTTCCTATTATGTCCTAGAATCTGTATTTTGATAAAGCCATGGATGGCGAAACGTTACTACAATAAAGATATCCAGAATGTTGCACATGTGTCTTAATTTCATATTGTCGGAAATTTTATACCTTCTTTGCACAAATTTGTAAGACACTGCAACTTTCATGGAATCTTGGTTCAGAGGGACATCTTACAAGCCCTTTCTTCACGGCGCTGAACTAACCCATTCTTTGGGAAGGACCTACTTCCACGGGGGAACCCCGGGCTACCAGTGACTGACCTCGTCTGCTGCCCGTTCCCATTCACTGACGCCATAAAAAGCGGCCAGTCTTCTTGCTTTGCTCCAGACTCTCTCCACCACGTGCTGTGAAAATAACTCAAGGCCGAGGATGATTACCTCATTTTTGTATATTGTTCTATGTTTCCTATTATGCCCTAGAATCTGTATTGATAAACCACTGGATGGCGAAACGTCTACTACAATAAAAGAATATCCGATGTTGAAACATGTGTCTTAATTTCATAATTGTCGGTTTTTATACCTTTCTTTGCACAATTTGGGTCAGGACAAACTGCAACATCATGGAATCTTGGGTTCGGGAGGACATCTAAAAAGACCTTTTTTTCACGGCTGCTGCAACTAACCCATCTTTTTGGGAAAGGGGACCTACTTCCACTGGGGAATCCCGCCTACCAGTGACTGACCTCGTCTGCTGCCCGTCCCATTCACTGACGCCTATAAAAAGCGCCAGTCTTCTTGCCTTTGCTCCAGACTCCCCTCCACCACGATGCTGTGAACACTAACTCCAAGGCCGGGGGGACTGATTACCTCATCTTTTGTATATAGTTTACTGTCTTCCTATTATGTCCTAGAATCTGTTTTGATAAAGCCACTGGATGGCAAAAACGTCTACTACAATAAAGATATCCAGATGTTGCACATGTGTCTTAACTTTCATATTGTCGGTATTTTATACCTTTCTTTGCACAACTTGTCAGACACTGCAACATCATGGAATCTTGGTTCAGAGGACATCTACAAGACCTTCTTCACGGCTGCTGAACAAACCCCCATCTCTTTGGAAAGGGAAACCTACTTCCACTGGGGAACCCCGCCTACCAGTGACTGACCTCGTCTGCTGCCCGTCCCATTCACTGACGCCTATAAAAAGCGCCAGTCTTCTTGCCTTTGCTCCAGACTCTCCTCCACCACGATGCTGTGAACACTAACTCCAAGGCCGAGGGACTGATTACCTCATCTTTTGTATATAGTTCTACTGTCTTCCTATTATGTCCTAGAATCTGTATTGATAAAGCCACTGGATGGCGAAACGTCTACTACAATAAAGATATCCAGATGTTGCACATGTGTCTTAACTTTCATCATTTTTTATGTCACATGACTTGTTGACGGCGATTAAATGAAGCTTACGGCTGGGGTTACATCTATTATTCTGTTTCCCACTTTCTGTAAACCTGGTGGCCCTCTCTACCTTACCCCACATGCTGTATAGTGAACATTAAAATGGTATAAAATACCATACCTAACATGCTGTATAGTCCTTGTGGCTTAGCGCTTCTTTTCTGATTATAATATAATATAATACCTTACCCCACGCGGGAAGAAGTTGGAAGGGTGAGTGGGTTGGATTAAGTAAATTTATTCAGGTATACACAAATACAGTTACATAGATTATCATACATAGCAGCATATGTGTAGAGAACCTAGGGTAACCCAGTGAAGTCAGACAAAGCTACTTATTTCCACTGGGGTCCTTGCAATACTTTATTATTATACTATAAAGGAGATAATATCTTATTATACTACAAAGGAGATAATATCTTATTATTATACTATAAATGATGAAGATTGAGACACTTATGCAGCATATGGGAATCTTTATTCAGGAAACGTTTCGCCACACAGTGGTTTCATCAGTCCAATACAAAGAGGAAGGCGTAAGGAGAGGAGGAGTATATAAGCCACGTCTACGGCCCTATGCTGTACATTCTACAAGATTGATGGACTGAACACATCGACTCTAGGCTGGGGGACTGATTACCTCATACTCCTCCTCTCCTTACGCCTTCCTCTTTGTATTGGACTGATGAAGCCACTGTGTGGCGAAACGTTTCCTGAATAATGATTCCTATATGCTGCATACCTGGAGTTTACCTGGAGAGAGTTCCGGGGGTCAACGCCCCCGCGGCCCGGTCTGAGACCAGGCCTCCTGGTGGATCAGAGCCTGATCAACCAGGCTGTTGCTGCTGGCTGCACGCAAACCAACATACGAGCCACAGCCCGGCTGATCCGGAACTGACTTTAGGTGCTTGTCCAGTGCCAGCTTGAAGACTGCCAGGGGTCTGTTGGTAATCCCCCTTATGTGTGCTGGGAGGCAGTTGAACAGTCTCGGGCCCCTGACACTTATTGTATGGTCTCTTAACGTGCTAGTGACACCCCTGCTTTTCATTGGGGGGATGGTGCATCGTCTGCCAAGTCTTTTGCTTTCGTAGTGGGTGATTTTCGTGTGCAAGTTCGGTACTAGTCCCTCTAGGATTTTCCAGGTGTATATAATCATGTATCTCTCCCTCCTGCGTTCCAGGGAATACAGGTTTAGGAACCTCAAGCGCTCCCAATAATTGAGGTGTTTTATCTCCGTTATGCGCGCCGTGAAAGTTCTCTGTACATTTTCTAGGTCGGCAATTTCACCTGCCTTGAAAGGTGCTGTTAGTGTGCAGCAATATTCCAGCCTAGATAGAACAAGTGACCTGAAGAGTGTCATCATGGGCTTGGCCTCCCTAGTTTTGAAGGTTCTCATTATCCATCCTGTCATTTTTCTAGCAGATGCGATTGATACAATGTTATGGTCCTTGAAGGTGAGATCCTCCGACATGATCACTCCCAGGTCTTTGACGTTGGTGTTTCGCTCTATTTTGTGGCCAGAATTTGTTTTGTACTCTGATGAAGATTTAATTTCCTCATGTTTACCATATCTGAGTAATTGAAATTTCTCATCGTTGAACTTCATATTGTTTTCTGCAGCCCACTGAAAGATTTGGTTGATGTCTGCCTGGAGCTTTGCAGTGTCTGCAATGGAAGACACTGTCATGCAGATTCGGGTGTCATCTGCAAAGGAAGACACGGTGCTGTGGCTGACATCCTTGTCTATGTCGGATATAAGGATGAGGAACAAGATGGGAGCGAGTACTGTGCCTTGTGGAACAGAGCTTTTCACCGTAGCTGCCTCGGACTTTACTCTGTTGACGACTACTCTCTGTGTTCTGTTAGTGAGGAAATTATAGATCCATCGACCGACTTTTCCTGTTATTCCTTTAGCACGCATTTTGTGCGCTATTACGCCATGGTCACACTTGTCGAAGGCTTTTGCAAAGTCTGTATATATTACATCTGCATTCTTTTTGTCTTCTAGTGCATTTAGGACCTTGTCGTAGTGGTCCAATAGTTGAGACAGACAGGAGCGACCTGTTCTAAACCCATGTTGCCCTGGGTTGTGTAACTGATGGGTTTCTAGATGCGTGGTGATCTTGCTTCTTAGGACCCTTAAGCATAAGTGTCTCAATCTTCAACTTGTCGGTTTTTCAAACCATTCATCACAACTGTCAGACACTGCAGCATCATGGGATCTTGTTACAAAGAATTCTTCAACACTTGTTCAACCTTTGGACGAAGACCTACTTCGACTAGTGGATGGTACCACTATGACCCAGCCTCCGCCTGCTTCACCTCACCTCACTACAGTATATAAGCCACGTCTACGGCCCTATGCTGTACATTCTACAAGATTGATGGACTGAACACATCGACTCTAGGCTGAGGGACTGATTACCTCATACTCCTCCTCTCCTTACGCCTTCCTCACATTCATCACACTTCCTCTTTGTATTGGACTGATGAAGCCACTGTGTGGCGAAACGTTTCCTGAATAAAGATTCCCATATGCTGCATAAGTGTCTCAATCTTCAACTTGTCGGTTTTTCAAACCATTCATCACAAGATCTGGAATTCATTGCCTGAACATACAAAAGGGGTCCTGCTGCCTGCACACAATTCAAGGCTGTTTAGAAATCACCTCATCTCCCAGTATTAACCACACGAACACTACATATTATCGCCACCAACAACTCATAAATTCCTAAATATTTTAAGATTATTTTAAAGTTAAAATGGTTTCAATCTCATTATGTAAAATGCGCCAAAATATAATACTGTAACCTGTTAATCAATTCATCTCAATTATAAATTTGATTACTGCTAAACCACTAACTACCTCTGTTGAAATATAAAAAAATGATGTTTAATTCTAACCAACTATGATACATATATGCCTAGCATTAAGTAGTCTGTTAAGCATTGGGTTTAGTCTGCCCGAAATGTCCCAGCATGATAGTGACTTTCTTTGTATTTAGCCAGTCAAAATTGTAATTACATATTGTAAACTATGCAAAGAAATAAAATCCTTAATGCGTAATACATAGCAGCAAATGTGTAGAGAGCCCATGATAACCCAAAAAAAGTCAGACAAAATGACTTATTTCCATTGGGGTCCTTTATATTTAGGCAGCACAATTTTTCCGAAACTCCCGGGACACAGAACCCAATGGAAATACATTACTTTATCTGACCTTTTTTGAGGGATTATCCAAGGTAATTTACACACATATATGATAATTTGTGTAACTGTGTTTGTGTGTACTTGTATATAAACTTACGCTTTGGTGGCTTTTAACAAACCCAACAAAAAAGGAAAAAAAAAGACTAAGAAAGGCGGGAAGGTGCGGTGCAGCGGTGGTGCCCCGGGACTCTCTGCTCACTAAAATTATGTATTTCCCAGTGTTTTTGAAGTGAAATGTTCATTTGTGATTCATTATAGTGTAGAGGAAAAGGCATGGAAGTGAATAAATAATCTAGACTGGCTCTTTCACAGATAAAAGAAGTTACTAAAAGATGATACATTTAGAGGAAGGTTGAGTCTGGGCATGAATGTAAGAAAACAAACCAAGTTGAAGCCAGAGCAATTATAAATGTGGAAAATGACATAGTCAAGTAATTAATTACCGGGTCAACCATGCTTATCAGGTGCTTGCCTGGTCAACCATGCTTATCAGGTGCTTGCCTGGTCAACCAGGCTTATCAGGTGCTTGCCTGGTCAACCAGGCTTATCAGGTGCTTGCCTGGTCAACCAGGCTTGTCTGGTGTTTGCCTGGTCAACCAGGCTTATTTGGTGCTTGCCTGGTCAACCAGGCTTGTCTGGTGCTTGCCTGGTCAACCAGGCTTCTCTGGTGCTTGCCTGGTCAACCAGGCTTATCAGGTGCTTGCCTGGTCAGCCAAGCTTGTCTGGTGCTTGCCTGGTCAACCAGGCTTGTCTGGTGCTTGCCTGGTCAACCAGGCTTATCTGGTGTTTGCCTGGTCAACCAGGCTTGTCTGGTGTTTGCCTGGTCAACCATGCTTGTCTGGTGCTTGCCTGGTCAACCAGGCTTGTCTGGTGCTTGCCTGGTCAACCAGGCTTCTCTGGTGCTTGCCTGGTGAACCAGGCTTGTCTGGTGTTTGCCTGGTCAACCAGGCTTGTCTGGTGCTTGCCTGGTCAACCAGGCTTGTCTGGTGCTTGCCTGGTCAACCAGGCTTGTCTGGTGTTTGCCTGGTCAACCAGGCTTATCAGGTGTTTGCCTGGTCAACCATGCTCATCAGGTGCTTGCCTGGTCAACCAGGCTTATCATGTGCTTGCCTGGTCAACCAGGATTATCAGGTGCTTGCCTGGTCAACCATGCTTGTCTGGTGCTTGCCTGGTCAACTAGGCTTGTCTGGTGCTTGCCTGGTCAACCAGGCTTGTCTGGTGCTTGCCTGGTCAACCATGCTTGTCTGGTGCTTGCCTGGTCAACCAGGCTTGTCTGGTGCTTGCCTGGTCAACTAGGCTTGTCTGGTGCTTGCCTGGTCAACCAGGCTTGTCTGGTGCTTGCCTGGTCAACCAGGCTTGTCTGGTGCTTGCCTGGTCAACTAGGCTTGTCTGGTGCTTGCCTGGTCAACCAGGCTTGTCTGGTGCTTGCCTGGTCAACTAGGCTTGTCTGGTGCTTGCCTGGTCAACCAGGCTTGTCTGGTGCTTGCCTGGTCAACCATGCTTGTCTGGTGCTTGCCTGGTCAACCAGGCTTGTCTGGTGCTTGCCTGGTCAACCATGCTTATCTGGTGCTTGCCTGGTCAACCAGGCTTGTCTGGTGCTTGCCTGGTCAACTAGGCTTGTCTGGTGCTTGCCTGGTCAACCAGGCTTGTCTGGTGCTTGCCTGGTCAACCAGGCTTGTTTGGTGCTTGCCTGGTCAACCAGGCTTGTCTGGTGCTTGCCTGGTCAACCAGGCTTGTCTGGTGCTTACCGGGTAAAACAGGCTCATCTGGTGCTTGCCTGGTCAACCAGGCTTATCAGGTGCTTGCCTGGTCAACCATGCTTATTTGATGCTTGTCTGGTCAACCATGCTTATCAGGTGCTTGCCTGGTCAACCAGGCTTGTCTGGTTCTTGCTGGGTAAAACAGGCTCATCTGGTGCTTGCCTGGTCAACCATGCTTATTTGATGCTTGCCTGGTCAACCATGCTTATCAGGTGCTTGCCTGGTCATCCAGGTTTGTCTGGTGCTTGCCGGGTAAAACAGGCTCATCTGGTGCTTGCCTGGTCAACCATGCTTATCAGGTGCTTGCCTGGTCAACCAGGCTTGTCTGGTGCTTGCCTGGTCAACCAGGCTTATCAGGTGCTTGCCTGGTCAACCAGGCTTATTTTGTGCTTGCCTGGTCAACCATCCTTATCAGGTGCTTGCCTTGTCAACCAGGCTTGTCTGGTGCTTGCCTGGTCAACCAGGCTTATTTGGTGCTTGCCTGGTCAACCATGCTTATCAGGTGCTTGCCTGGTCAACCAGGCTTGCCTGGTGCTTGCCGGGTAAAACAGGCTCATCTGGTGCTTGCCTGGTCAACCATGCTTATTTGATGCTTGCCTGGTCAACCATGCTTATCAGGTGCTTGCCTGGTCATCCAGGTTTGTCTGGTGCTTGCTGGGTAAAACAGGCTCATCTGGTGCTTGCCTGGTCAACCATGCTTATCAGGTGCTTGCCTGGTCAACCAGGCTTGTCTGGTGCTTGCCTGGTCAACCAGGCTTATCAGGTGCTTGCCTGGTCAACCAGGCTTATTTTGTGCTTGCCTGGTCAACCATCCTTATCAGGTGCTTGCCTTGTCAACCAGGCTTGTCTGGTGCTTGCCTGGTCAACCAGGCTTATTTGGTGCTTGTCTGGTCAACCAGGCTGTTGCTGTTAGCGACCCACTAGCTGACATATCCATCGCAGCCTGGTTTATCCGGCACTTTAAAGAGGTTTGTGTTGAATTTCCTCTTTAAGAATTCTACGTTCGTTTCAGCAGTTTTTCTTATGTCTCTAAGTAAGATGTTCAGTAGTCTGGGACCATGGTGTTGACACAACTTATTGTGCCCATGGTATTCTTGCCTTTCATTGGCTTTACAGCCTCTCCTCACTTAACGATGGAGTTCCGTTCCTGAGACCACATTGTTAAACAAATTGATCGCTAAATGAGGAACATTCTCTAATGGTAGTGAGTTTGCGTCAAACATCTTTGATATTGTTTTAATTTTTGCCTTTGCACCATTTATAACATTTCTGGTGTATTTTTAAATGTTTATACAGTAGTGTACTGTATATTGAAATAACCAGAATAGAGGAAATCATCTCTAATACACATTATTAAGGTCAGAGAGCCCGTCGTAAGTCCGAGGTGTTGGTAAATGAGTACGTCACTAAGTGAGGAGAGGCTGAATTTATTTTACATTTTCCCCTATGTCTCTCCTGTATGTTGTTATGGCAGTGTGCAGATTTAGAACTAGGTCTCAAATAACTTCTAAATACAATATATGTGTATTATCACGAAGCAATCACATTGAGACCAGGACTGGCTTTATAAAAGATCTGAATGGCTATAAGTGTACAAATCTAAAATGGTTGGATGGAGTTGTAGGGAACATTGAGGAAGGATTGGAGGATGGTGGTGAAGGAGGTTTTAAGAGGCAGGCATGTGTGAGCTCATTTGATCATGTTCCCTTGATGCTGGTGAATGGCTCTTGATCTAAGGAATTTAAACTAACCTCCCCTTCCTTCAATCAGACTTGATTGCCTCTGTTTTCCTAGTCACTGTATGACCCCTGTGGGTTTAGCACATCCCATGATTATAATAAGAATTTGATCATATTAGAGGTGAATTGTTTTTGGGACTTACTGTGCTGTTGAAGTGAGCACTGTAACATGTTTATGAGGATTTGGGGAAACCAGTTTGCCTGAGGTGGGACTGTTGTAATTTGGTAAATGATAATTGATCACAAAATTTGTTCCTTTCTGAAAAGACGGCTTGGGAGTACCTGGAGTTCAAGGCATTCGTTTCTTTAGTTGTTTACAAGCAAATTAAGAATATTTTTATGTTTTGGGCTCTGTACAGTGGTACCTTGGGATACGAATTTAATTTGTTCAAGAAGGCTGTTCGAGTGCCGATACCGAACAAATTTGTTCCCATGAGTTTGTGGTTACAGGAAAGTGGGTGCGGGAGGGAAGAGGAGCGATTGGTGGAATGATGATGTAAAGAGAGTAGTAAGGGAGAAAAAGTTAGCATATGAGAAGTTTTTACAAAGTAGAAGTGATGCAAGGAGGGAAGAGTATATGGAGAAAAAGAGAGAGGTTAAGAGAGTGGTGAAGCAATGTAAAAAGAGAGCAAATGAGAGAGTGGGTGAGATGTTATCAACAAATTTTATTGAAAAATAAGAAAAAGTTTTGGAGTGAGATTAACAAGTTAAGAAAGCCTAGAGAACAAATGGATTTGTCAGTTAAAAATAGGAGGGAGAGTTATTAAATGGAGAGTTAGAGGTATTGGGAAGATGGAGGGAATATTTTGAGGAATTGTTAAATGTTGATGAAGATAGGGAAGCTGTGATTTCGTGTATAGGACAAGGAGGAATAACATCTTGTAGGAGTGAGGAAGAGCCAGTTGTGAGTGTGGGGGAAGTTCGTGAGGCAGTAGGTAAAATGAAAGGGGGTAAGGCAGCCAGGATTGATGGGATAAAGATAGAAATGTTAAAAGCAGGTGGGGATATAGTTTTGGAGTGGTTGGTGCAATTATTTAATAAATGTATGGAAGAGGGTAAGGTACCTAGGGATTGGCAGAGAGCATACATAGTTCCTTTGTATAAGGGAATGGGGATAAAAGAGAGTGCAAAAAAAAGGAGGGGTGTTAATGTTGCAGTTTAAAAACTGTAGTGTAAAGCACCCTTCTGGCAAGACAGTGATGGAGTGAATGATGGTGAAAGTTTTTCTTTTTCGGGCCACCCTGCCTTGGTGGGAATCGGCCAGTGTGATAATAAATAATAAAAAAATAAAAGTCTGCTGAGTATACCTGGTAAAGTGTATGGTAGAGTTATTATTGAAAGAATTAAGAGTAAGATGGAGAATAGGATAGCAGATGAACAAGGAGGCTTTAGGAAAGGTAGGGGGTGTGTGGACCAGGTGTTTACAGTGAAACATATAAGTGAACAGTATTTAGATAAGGCTAAAGAGGTCTTTGTGGCATTTATGGATTTGGAAAAGGTGTATGACAGGGTGGATAGGGGGGCAATGTGGCAGATGTTGCAAGTGTATGGTGTAGGAGGTAGGTTACTGAAAGCAGTGAAGAGTTTTTACGAGGAAAATGAGGCTCAAGTTAGAGTATGTAGGAAAGAGGGAAATTATTTCCCAGTAAAAGTAGGCCTTAGACAAGGATGTGTGATGTCACCATGGTTGTTTAATATATTTATAGATGGGGTTGTAAGAGAAGTAAATGCGAGGGTCTTGGCAAGAGGCATGGAGTTAAAAGATAAAGAATCACACATAAAGTGGGAGTTGTCACAGCTGTTCTTTGCTGATGACACTGTGCTCTTGGGAGATTTTGAAGAGAAGTTGCAGAGATTGGTGGATGAATTTGGTAGGGTGTGCAAAAGAAGAAAATTAAAGGTGAATACAGGAAAGAGTAAGGTTATGAAGATAACAAAAAGATTAGGTGATGAAAGATTGAATATCAGATTGGAGGGAGAGAGTATGAAGGAGGTGAATGTATTCAGATATTTGGGAGTGGACGTGTCAGCAGATGGGTCTATGAAAGATGAGGTGAATCATAGAATTGATGAGGGGAAAAGAGTGAGTGGTGCACTTAGGAGTCTGTGGAGACAAAGAACTTTGTCCTTGGAGGCAAAGAGGGGAATGTATGAGAGTATAGTTTTACCAACACTCTTGTATGGGTGTGAGGCATGGGTGATGAATGTTGCAGCGAGGAGAAGGCTGGAGGCAGTGGAGATGTCATGTCTGAGGGCAATGTGTGGTGTGAATATAATGCAGAGAATTCGTAGTTTGGAAGTTAGGAGGAGGTGCGGGATTACCAAAACTGTTGTCCAGAGGGCTGAGGAAGGGTTGTTGAGGTGGTTCGGACATGTAGAGAGAATGGAGCGAAACAGAATGACTTCAAGAGTGTATCAGTCTGTAGTGGAAGGAAGGCGGGGTAGGGGTCGGCTTAGGAAAGGTTGGAGAGAGGGGGTAAAGGAGGTTTTGTGTGTGAGGGGCTTGGACTTCCAGCAGGTATGCGTGAGCGTGTTTGATAGGAGTGAATGGAGAAAAATGGCTTTTAATACTTGACGTGCTGTTGGAGTGTGAGCAGAGTAGCATTTATGAAGGGGTTCAGGGAAACCGGCAGGCCGGACTTGAGTCCTGGAGATGGGAAGTACAGTGCCTGCACTCTGAAGGAGGGGTGTTAATGTTGCAGTTTAAAAACTGTAGTGTAAAGCACCCTTCTGGCAAGCCAGTGATGGAGTGAATGATGGTGAAAGTTTTTCTTTTTCGGGCCACCCTGCCTTGGTGGGAATCGGCCAGTGTGATATAAAAAAAAAAAAAAGGAATAATGTAAATTAGACCCCTAAAAATACACTTACTAAAGCACTTATATAAATACGCTTACATAATTGTTCGAGTTTTGAGCTGTTCATATCCCGAGGTACCACTGTACTACAAAATAAAGATTTAGATCCCTGAACTTACTTTCTCTTGAAAGACTTAAAATGAGGGAAGGTATGACTGAAGTATGCAAGTGAAAGATAGGCATAGAGACATAAATAGGGTACTGTGGATATCTAACCAATAATTGTTGCAAGTTAGATAACTTTGGCTTTGAAAGGATAGAGAAAAATACCAGTTAAGTAATAGTTGTAGATGAGTGGGATAAACTACCAAGTAGAGTCATCGAAGTTAACAGCTTGGGTAGCTATGAAAATAGGTTGGATGGACAAATATGAGTGAGAAGGGTTGGGTCTGAGAAGAACCCACCTAGCATAGGTCAGTAGGCCTGCTGTAGTTCTCCGTTCCTATTCTTATAGGACACTTACAAACAGAATAGCTTTGAGATTTGTTTTGCTATAATACACTGCCTTTTTTTTTATACAACAGGATGGTATCATCAAATAAATTGAAAGAAGATACAGCTTCTCTAGCTGAATCCAGTGAATCAAGGATGTCTGTCGAGGACTCGGGTGAGTACAGTACACGAATTACAGTAAACTTTCAATGTTACGGACTAATAGGGGGTGTTCATAAATTAAGTTAAAAGTCCAATTTATTCAGTAGATTTTGCCCATAATTTTAAAAGTCTGTTATAGTATAAGGGTCCATTGTATTGAGGGTTTACTGCAGTCAGTGTTAAAAGAGTATTTCTAGACTATTTCATAGTGAAAGTTGATATGTTAGTTAATATCTGTGTGATTACTGTATCCACAGTATATGTAGTAACATGGACATATCAATGCTTGTGGTACCTCTTAGCATTCTTGGCTCACATTGAGAGGATGTGGGTGTCCAACCCCTTGAGGTGAGACATATGGACAAGTCTTCTAGTACCTACTGTCTCTGTTGCCTGGTAGTGACTAGATACTTAGTGTGTGCTTTATTGGTGTGTTCCACACCTTGGGGAGGAACTTAGTAAGATCCCAGTGGAAATAAGCCACATTGACCCCACAGATGTAAACAACTACAGGCCAATTTCAAACTTACCATTGCTATCCAAAATCTTTGAGAAACTTATGTACAAGAGATTATATTCCTTTATAACAGTGAAAAGCATCCTCAACCCCTGCCATTTTGGCTTCAGAAAAAAGCAAAAGCACAAACGACGCAATTGTAAAAATGCTGGACCTGCTTTACACTGCACTGGAAAAAAAATAAATTATCATTAGGACTCTTTATCGACCTAAGGAAAGCATTTAATACAGTAGACCACAGCATCCTACTCCACAAACTTGAGCATTATGGCATAAGAGGCCACGTACTTACATATTTCAAATCCTACCTAACTAATAGGCAGCAATACCTCTCTGTTAAGGACACAACCTCATCAATAAGACCACTGGATACTGGAGTACCACAGGAAAGTGCCCTTGGTCCCCTGCTCTTCCTCTTATACATCAATGATCTACCTAATGTTTCACAGCACCTTTAGCCTATTCTCTTTGCCGACAATATGACATATGTCATCTCCCACCCTAATCTTGCCTCACTTAACACTATTGTTAATGAAGAATTAGTAAAAATATCGACTTGGATGACTGCTAATAAACTTACACTTAATACTGACAAAACCTTCTACATTCTGTTTGGGAACAGAACAGGTGCTGCCCAGCTGAACATAACAATTGACAACATTCCTATTGCTAGACATAATGAGGGCAAATTCTTGGGCCTGCACCATGACAGCAACCTGAAATTCAGCATCCATATCCAACAAATAACAAAAAAAATATAGAAAACAGTTGGGATCCTCTCTAAGATATGTTACTACGTACCACAGTCAGCCTTACTCACACTATACTATTCAATCATCTATCCCTACCTCACCTATGCTATTTGTGCATGGGGATCAACAGCAGCAACTCGCCTAAAGCCAATAATTACCCAACAGAAAGCTGCAATAAGAATTATCATGCTATTCAATGCAAGACAGCACACACCCCCACTCTTCAAAGACCTAAACCTACTCACTGTACAGAACATTCACACCTACTATTGTGCAACCTACATTTACAGAACCATAAACTCTAATTTTAACTCCGAACTAAAACACTTTCTTGATAGTTGCAACAGGATCCACAGACACGACACCAGATACAAAAATCTTTATGACATTCCCCATGTCCGGCTAAACCTCTACAAAAATTCGATGTACATAAAAGGGCCTGAAATCTGGAACTCCCTGCCTGAAAACTCTAGAACCACAGACTCAACCACCATTTTCAGAACTACCATTAAAAAACATCTCTTCTCCCTAACTCGCCCCACCATCAGCTAACCAAATGAAAATCACCAACTTCTCTTTTTTGTATCATGACCACATCCAAAACAATATAGACTTACTCTCATTATCTGTAATTCCCCCATAATTTACACCTACACCCACCCAAATGACGGTAAACATAAAATTCCTAATATAGCTATTGCCTATTAAATCTTAAGTTAGTCCTATTAAATCTTAAGTTAGTCCTAAGTTTGCCTAAGATACTCTTCCAGTACATATATGGCTTTAATAGAAACAATGTATCATGCCAAGACAAATCGAATCCCATTACTAAATCTACCATTTGTAATATTATTGTATGATTTGTACTACCTAACTATTTTAAACCTAATTATGTATGTACCTAATTGGGAATGTATCTGATTATGTATCTAATAATATGTTCAAATGTACTGCTTAATTATAACCTATATCAATATAATGTAAGAATTAGTATTAGTCTGCCCGAAGTGCCTAGGCACGATAGTGGCCATCTTTGTAATTAAATTCTTATAACATGTGAACCACACATTGTAAACTTTACAAGGAAATAAATATTTGAATTTGAATTTGAATTTGCTGGGTTATGGGTTACTAGCCATTCAGGGTTAATAATCTGAATAGGGTCTTCTTCATCATGTCTCCAGTATTCAGTATGAGTTACTTATTTTGTAACAGAAATTGAGGGATGTAAATTTGAGAAGACCTTGGTAACCACTGAGATGCTGGCTGAGGAGGAGAAATTAGAAGCAGCTAATGTAAAAGAAGCGGAAATGATCCGTCTGCAAGTGGAAGCCCGAAAACACAATGAAGCACAACTGCAGGAACAAAGGTAAAAGGAGTTTGGCTTGCTGAACAAAAGCATAAATTAATACAATGTCTATTATTGTATCCTTATTACTGTTCAGGACTTTAATTACAGATGTTTTGTATGTGATTGTCTTTTATTGTTTATATATAATGGGTAGGAAGGAAAACTAAATGTATTTGCTGAAGCTTGTGAGTGTCTAGTTTTTCTTTGTACTTAACAAAAGTAGGGTTATGCAGGTGATTTGCCTATTTGTGAATACAGTAGCATACATATTTGTAGTTACAAAAGCAAAGCTGTGTTTACTGAATCCCAACTTGTGGATAATTTACTTTTTTTTTTTTTTTTTTTTTTTAATTTTCATTAGTCATAGCACTTGCCACTATCTCTTTTATCTCATTCCATTGTTACAACAATAATTTTTTTCTAGTATCCTTTCGACACTTATTCTCATTTTTCTTTAGGCTGTTCTTAATGGTTAAGAGTTTGTAATCTGTGTTTATCTGTCCTAGACTCTGTTTACATCTTTTGTCTACTAATACAATCTTTCTAACTGCTCTCATTGTGATCTATATCATATATCTTACATTTATTTACTGTCTTTTTCCTAAAAAAAAAGTGCAGGATTACCTGGAGTATACCAAATCCCTTGCATGCTACACCATCTGCAACTCTCTCACCCACCTTAGCATTATTAACACTTAAACTGTCCAAACGTAGATCTGCGTTCACGTGTATAGCGCTCTGACCTTCATTTACCCCATTTGAAAGCATGTAAAAAGAAAAGTAGGTCTACGTTCGGAGCCACCCCGCACGTGGACGTAGATCTACATTTGGACAGTTTAAGGATTAAAGTCCCTCATATCAATAATTCTCTCACTTGGCTCTAAACTCCCTAAATATTCACTTAACCTCTCTCAAAATCTCTTCTCTTCTATACACCTCTCACCCCTAGGACCATACACTTTATAACCCACTTCTCGCATCTCATCTTTCTTCTATTGATTCTCTCAGGTGTACTCAACTTAATCTCATTTACTCCTCCCATTGAAATTCTCCCGCCCCTTTTTATCTTTGTTTTATTTAGTACTGTACTAAAATATCCAGTTTCTTTTCATTCAGTTAATTCTTTCTCATCTGTACGACACCCCCAAATTTTCAAGCACCCCAGGTTCAATTTTTAATTTTTTGTTAATTGAATAGAAAAAAGGATTTTATATGGCCCATTATCTCATTGGGATCATATTATTATTATTTTATTATTATTATTATTATTATTATTATTATTATTATTACAGCCTCTCCTCATTTAACAACAGAGTTCCGTTCCTAATACCGCATCGTTAAACGAATTCGTCACTAAACGAGGAGCATACTATGATGGTAGTGGGTTTATGTCAACCATCTTTGATAATACTTTAATGTCACCCTTGCACCATTTATGTATAACATTTTTAGTATATTTTTAAATGTTGATACAATAGTGTATTGTATATTGTAATAAACAGAATAGAGGAAATCAGCTCTAATATACATTATTCAGGTATGCATATGGTCGGAGAGCCCGTTGTAAGTTCGAGTCTTCGGTAAATGAGTATGTCGCTAAGTGAGGAGAGGCTGTATTATATATGAAGGCATTCAGGGAGTACAGTTAGCCAGGCTTGAGTTGTGGATGTGGGAGGTACAGTGCCTGCACTCTGAAGGAGGGGTGGAGATATTGCAGTCTGGAGCATCACCTGAGTTGTAGTGTTGGAGCACCTGTGGCAAGATGGTGATGGAGTGAGTGATGGTGAAAGTGTTTCTTGTTTTTCCAGTCACTATCTCAGTGGGAGACAGCTGGTGTGCTAAGAAATTATTATTATTATTGTTGTTATTTTTTATGAATACAGCCTCTCCTCACTTAACGATGGGGTTCCGTTCCAATGTACTGTTTGCAAAGACATAAAATAAATAAATAAATAAATAAATAAGAGTGGGTCGGTAAGCAAACTGATCATTAAGTGAGGAGCATGCTATATTGGTAGTGGGTTTGTGTCAACTGTCTTTAAATTTTCTTTAATGTAACCTTTGCAGCATTTATAACATTTTTAGTATATTTTTAAATGTTTATACAGTTAAGGAAGCCTAGAGAACAAATGGATTTGTCAGTTAAAAATAGGAGAGGAGAGTTATTAAATGGAGAGTTAGAGGTATTGGGAAGATGGAGAGAATATTTTGAGGAATTGTTAAATGTTGATGAAGATAGGGAAGCTGTGATTTCGTGTATAGGGCAAGGAGGAATAACATCTTGTAGGAGTGAGGAAGAGCCAGTTGTGAGTGTGGGGGAAGTTCGTGAGGCAGTAGGTAAAATGAAAGGGGGTAAGGCAGCCGGGATTGATGGGATAAAGATAGAAATGTTAAAAGCAGGTGGGGATATAGTTTTGGAGTGGTTGGTGCAATTTAATAAATGCATGGAAGAGGGTAAGGTACCTAGGGATTGGCAGAGAGCATGCATAGTTCCATTGTATAAAGGCAAAGGGGACAAGAGAGAGTGCAAAAATTATAGTGGGATAAGTCTGTTGAGTATACCTGGTAAAGTGTATGGTAGAGTTATTATTGAAAGAATTAAGAGTAAGACGGAGAATAGGATAGCAGATGAACAAGGAGGGTTTAGGAAAGTTAGGGGGTGTGTGGACCAGGTGTTTACAGTGAAACATATAAGTGAACAGTATTTAGATAAGGCTAAAGAGATGTTTGTGGCATTTATGGATTTGGAAAAGGCATATGACAGTGTGGATAGGGGGGCAGTGTGACAGATGTTGCAGGTGTATGGTGTAGGAGATAGGTTACTGAAAGCAGTGAAGAGTTTTTACGAGGATAGTGAGGCTCAAGTTAGAGTATGTAGGAAAGAGGGAAATTATTTCCCAGTAAAAATAGGCCTTAGACAAGGATGTGTGATGTCACCATGGTTGTTTAATATATTTATAGATGGGGTTGTAAGAGAAGTAAATGCGAGAGTCTTGGCAAGAGGCGTGGAGTTAAAAGATAAAGAATCACACATAAAGTGGGAGTTGTCACAGTTGCTCTTTGCTGATGACACTGTGCTCTTGGGTGATTCTGAAGAGAAGTTGCAGAGATTAGTGGATGAATTTGGTAGGGTATGTAAAAGAAAATTAAAAGTGAATACAGGAAAGAATAAGGTTATGAGGATAACAAAAAGATTAGGTGATGAAAGATTGGATATCAGATTGGAGGGAGAGAGTATGGAGGAGGTGAATGTATTCAGATATTTGGGAGTGGACGTGTCAGTGGATGGGTCTATGAAAGATGAGGTGAATCATAGAATTGATGAGGGGAAAAGGGTGAGCGGTGCACTTAGGAGTCTGTGGAGACAAAGAACTTTGTCCTTGGAGGCAAAGAGGGGAATGTATGAGAGTAGAGTTTTACCAACGCTCTTATATGGGTGTGAAGCATGGGTGATGAATGTTGCAGCGAGAAGGCTGGAGGCAGTGGAGATGTCATGTCTGAGGGCAGTGTGTGGTGTGAATATAATGCAGAGAATTCGTAGTTTGGAAGTTAGGAGGAGGTGCGGGATTACCAAGACTGTTGTCCAGAGGGCTGAGGAAGGGTTGTTGAGGTGGTTCGGACATGTAGAGAGAATGGAGCGAAACAGAGTAACTTCAAGAGTGTATCAGTCTGTAGTGGAAGGAAGGCGGGGTAGGGGTCGGCCTAGGAAAGGTTGGAGGGAGGGGGTAAAGGAGGTTTTGTGTGCGAGGGGCTTGGACTTCCAGCAGGCATGTGTGAGCGTGTTTGATAGGAGTGAATGGAGACAAATGGTTTTTAATACTTGACGTGCTGTTGGAGTGTGAGCAAAGTAACATTTATGAAGGGGCTCAGGGAAACCGGCAGGCCGGACTTGAGTCCTGGAGATGGGAAGTACTGTGCCTGCACTCTGAAGGAGGGGTGTTAATGTTGCAGTTTAAAAACTGTAGTGTAAAGCACCCTTCTGGCAAGACAGTGATGGAGTGAATGATGGTGAAAGTTTTTCTTTTTCGGGCCACCCTGCCTTGGTGGGAATTGGCCAGTGTGATAATAAAAAAAATACAGTAGTGTACTGTATACTGTAATAAACAGAATAGAGGAAATCAGCTCTAATATTACTTAGGCTTGCATACTGGTCGAGGAGCTGGTTGTAAGTCTGAGCAGTCAGTAATCGAGTACATCACTAAGTGAGAGGAGGCTGTATTCCTTATTAATAAAAATTTGAGTAGAAAGGCAGTATTCAGATCAAGCTTAGTGTTTTGGTTTATCAACTGTTATGTAGGATATTTTTAACACACACATTCATGGAGAGTGAATTAAGAACAATAAAGAATCACATCTCCGTGGGGAAGTGGAAAAGAATTCTTCCTCCATAAGCCATGCGTGTCGCAAGAGGCGACTAAAATGCCGGGAGCAAGGGGCTAGTAACCCCTTCTTCTGGCTTGTTCCTTTAAAAATAAAAACTTTCAGTTTTCTGTTTAGGTTACCCTGCCTTGGTAGGATACAGCCAGTTTACTGAAAAAAAAATCGCACATCAGGTGTTGATGTGGGTAGCAGAGCATTGCATTTGGCCTTCTGGCCCATTATTAAGGTTCCAAATGTGCATGGATAACAGGCTGTGTGTTTCACATGTAAGCTAATGTGTGCTAAGGGTTTGCTAGGTTGAAGGTATCCTGCTTCTCTTCAGTAACATCCGTTGTGCCATTGATTGCTGGTTTTGGGAATCATTGTCAGGATTTGTCCCTTTTAATAAGTTCAGCATCTTTCCATGCGATAAAGTATGCATGTTTTACGTGCTTACTTTACAATGTAAGTAAAGTGGACCCTCGACCAATGATTTTAATTCGTTCCAGAGTGCCTGTCCTTAGCCAAATTTATCGTTAGCCGATTTAATTTTCCCCATAAGAAATAATGGAAATCCAATTAATCCATTCAAGACACCCAAAAGTATGAAATTTTTTTTCACATGAAATATACATTTTCCTACACAGAAAACAATGATACATGCACAATAAATACTACATGAAGAATAAATGACGCTTACCTTTATTGAAGATGTAGTGATGAGTGATGAAATGGGAGGAGGGGAGATGATGGTGGTGTATTATTATTTGGAAAGGGAATCCCCTTCCATAAGGACTTTAGGTACCAAGTCCTTTTCCGGGGTTACTTCCCTTCATTTTTTAATGCCACTGGAAATAACTTGACAGTCACTGGACCTCTGTCGCACCAAAAATCTGTCCATGGAGCTCTGTACCTGGCGTTCCTTTAAGATTTTCCTAAAATGGGCCACAACATTGTCATTGTAAAAGTCACCAGCATGGCTTGCAATAGCTGTGTCAGGGTGATATTCTTCCATAAAGGTTTGCACTTCAACCCACTTTGCACAAATGTCCTTTATCATTGAAGAAGGCAACTTCCTCCAGTTCTTTCTCCCCTCCTCTGAAGCAATTTCCTCAGTTGTGGTCTCTTGCTGTTGCAGATGCTCTTGCAGCTCATCAGTGGTTAGTTCTTCATTGTCATCCTCCACCAACTCTTCCACATCCTCTAACCTCCACTAACCTCCAACCCCATGGACTTCCCCAATGACACAATAGATTCCACAACTGGCATAGGCTCCTGAGGGTTAGCTCCAAAATCCCTCTCTTGTACACATTGTGGCCAAAATTTCCTCCAAGCAGAGCTCAGGGTCCTGTTAGTCACTCCCTCCTAAGCTTTACCTATAAGGTTTATGCAACTGAGGATATTAAAGTGATCATTCCAAAAGTCTCTTAAAGTCAATTCAGTGTCTGAGGTCACTTCAAAGCATTTTTGAAACACTGCTTTGGAGTACAGTTTTTTGAAATTTGAAATGACCTGCTGGTCCATGGGCTGGAGGAGAGGACTGGTATTAGGAGGCAAGAACTTCACTTTCATGAAGCTCAATTCCCCTACAATTTGCTCTGGCAAATCTGGAGGATGAGCAGGAGCATTGTCTAATACTAGGAGGCACTTGAGGTCCAGTTTATTTTCCAGGAGGTAATTTTTCACAGTGGGGCCAAACACATGATAGAACCAATCATAGAAAATGTCCTTAGTGACCCATGCCTTACTGTTTGCCTTCCACATCACACACAGATTAGCCTTGACAACACTGTTTTTCCTGAACACTCTAGGAGTTTCAGAGTGATACACGAGTAGAGACTTCACTTTGCACTCCCCACTAGTATTACTACAAAACATTAGAGTTAGCCTGTCTTTCATAGGCTTGTGTCCTGGCAGTGCTTTTTCCTCTTGTGTAATGTAAGTCCTGTTTGGCATTTTTTTCAAGAACAGGCCTGTTTCATCACAATTAAACACTTGTTGGGATTTTAATTTTTCAGTGTCTATGTACTCCTTGAATTCCTGCACATATTTTTCAGCCACTTTTTGGTCACAACTGGCAGCCTCACCATGCCTTATCACACTGTGTATGCCACTACGATTCTTAAATCTCTCAAACCAACCTTTGCTGGCCTTGAATTCACTAACATCACCACTAGTTGCAGGCATTTTTTTAATTAAATCGTCATGCAACTGCCTTACC